GTGTGTGGGTGTGTGTGTATGTCTGAGTGTGTGTGAGAGAGTTTTTAGTCATGGCTGCATTCCAGCCGCCTCTCTATTCATATCCTTTCTGAACCATTAGCATGTCATATTCTTTAACTAGCCCCTCACTGGCACCCCTGGGCCCCATGAGACTTATAAACATGGCTGTGGAGAGATAGGACTTGAGTGATGGGCAGCAGGGAACACAGGAGAACATGACAAGCTTTGTAGGATTGCTGTTTCTGTATCTGGAAGTATGGAGCTCTTCATTTTATTGGTTGGCTGTGTGACTGTATACATGTATATTTTCTGTGGACCATGTGTGGAGATACCCACACCCCCATGTTCCAGTTAAAGCCTCTATGTAAATCAAACCGTACTATGAAGCTGCCTTAAGCACAACCCTGAGGGCCCGACTTCATTCACTTCGTTCATTCAGCTATTCATGTCACTGTTTGCTTCCCTTTAAAGGGACACTTCCACATTTGATGGAATGAGATGAGAAGGACAAGTACATACTTCCCCCTGTCTTTGTGCAAAGCTAAAGCTGTTTTCAGACATAAACTCAGTAAAAGAACGTCAACACTGTGGCAAATAGTCTCAATTTCATTTTCTCTGAGAGCTAGATAAAAAGAGCGCTACCACTCTCACGTCTGTTGGGTCAATATGAAACAAAAACAGGTCACTGGTTACTTTAAATTAATTCCAGAGACTGGGAGACAGGGGGAAAGCACATACAGGAGGCAGGACATGATGTATACATTCCGCTGCAGAAAGCACTTTTTTGCTTTACAGCAATTGATGCTGGCATCAGCCCTTATCACCAAAAACACTTGTGTTAAACAAATCTTGTTGTCTCTCCAAGTTGGCATCTTTGTCAGCGTCTGGTTGCTTGTGCTGCAGACTATTACAATAAAAAAGATCCTAACAGTCTAAAAAAAAATTGACTTATACAGTTAAACATTTCTGCATGTCATGTATTTAAACATGCTGACATCTGTAGATGCTGACAGTGTTGATGAGTAGGTTTGAAGCACAATATGGTATTATGGTTAAAGATGAATGTTAGAGGAAGTACGATAGAGATCTGAAAGCTCAAAGTAAAAAACTGTCCAAAAAGAGATATAAATGATCAGTCAGATGCTGACTCAATCTCAACAACTGACTGCTGCTGAATAACACTGAGACTTCTGTCATAGCTGCCCATAAACCATTACTCACAGTTCACCTGAAGATATCTCGCAGGCACCGGAAGACGAGACGCACGACTCTTAGTGTTAAAGTGACTACATCATGTGGGAATGGGGCTCGGTGAGGGTGGTAAACAGCAGGCAGACAAACACAGACTCAGTCCTGTGTGTGTTCACAGATACATTTGTATATTTTTGCCCTCTGACGTTGAGAGAAACAACTCACTGATCATAACATGTAGATGTTTGTGTGTTGAGCTTTTCCAAGGGTAGAGCAAGCAGCTTATCTGTGTTTCTCTCTTCAGCTCACTCACCCTACCTTTCTCTATGCTTTTCTCTCGGTGCGTGTTTGTGTGTCTCTGTGCTTCCTGGGGGCAAGATCAGGCATGAGCTCTGAAAGCAGTCTCTCCAAAGTTGTTCTAGCCCTGCAGACAGCTGAGTGGAACAACTGACTTTTCCTGGGTGAAAGGGGGGAGGACGTAGATGTGTAGGGTCTCTGTAAAATACTACTACCACTCCCAAACAGACAGCCTGTCACCACCGTCCCTTTTCTGTTTGTTTAACCTGTCAGCTGTGTGTCTTCTGTACTCCCTCCTTTCTTGGCTGTTCTGACAGTGGAAAGATGAACAAACAACAAGGTCACCAGAGGCATCATTCCACAGATACCAAAATGTGGAAAAACACAGATAAGCTCACACATATTCCAGCATGGAAAACAGCAGAGTGAAATAACCGTCACTGAATGAGCAGGGTCAGTCGACAGCTTTTGTTCTAAGCAGAGAGAAAGCCATCGTTTGATACAAAATAAATGTAATGATAAAATTCTACCTAAACAAATTTGATATAAAAATACAGAATTTTCTGTATTAGAATTAATTAATAAAGATGAGCCGTTATAATAATTTTCCTCATCCGTTCTGAAAGTTCAGTTATGTAACAATGTGGCTTCTAGGCTTTCGACATCATGTAAATCTGTGTTCAGAGAGCATACTGTGCTAGTGCCATGAGAACCAACAGCCCTGATCCAGAAAAATCACAGAAAACTTGGCTGTGTCTTGGTTGACTCTAACCAAAACAAGGCCAACCTCAGTACCCTGCTAATCGAGTTGTTAATTAGAGCGTAACTGAAGCGGTTTTTCTACACTGTCAGGCCTGTAGCGTACCCAGAGCTAGTTCGTCTGCCGTTCCTAAGACTGGGTCCTGCCAAGCAGAGATAAGGCCTGAATTCCAACTGCTCTGATGTTAATCTGGCTGCTTCCACAGCCCAAACCATAAAACTACTAATCCTGCCTCCCTCACTCTCTCTCTCTCTCTCTCTCTGCTGCACAATGAAAATATATGTGTGTGATGTGTGTGCGTGTGTGTGTATCTGTGTTTACAAGTGTTTCTTTAAAAATTGCTTTCGGGGAATTCAATCTGCTTGAGATCTTTTTTGTAATTTCTGGGAATAGCTAGGGGGGAAAAAAATCACTGGCTGTTTGTGTGTATTTATTGTGTGTATATGTAAACAGATGAACATGTGAAAGCCTGTGTGCATATTTTCATTATTAGTCTGTCCCCCTATTTCTTTATTGTCACGTTCTTCGTCGAATTTCCTTTCTTCACTGGCAATCATCTGTTCACTCTTCTATTACAGGACACAACCTTTTGCTCAAATTGACTTGCTGTATAGCTAAAAGCACATATAAACACATAAAATAGACCACATCATGTTTCCACAGAAAAAGTTAATTGTTTTTGAGAGCCTGGTTGATGACAGTTATCTGCCTACAGATGATTAATGGAGGAACACTGCAGAGAAAAACATGGCTGTAACATGTCTGTATAACATGGCGCACGCAGGGCTGCTGCTTGATGGTTGAGGTTGAAGATGAAAATCTGAACTACAATAATAGACTTTTAAAGATAAACCACCCACAATCATGACACACTCTTAATAAATTAAAAAAAACATGTATCTGTGCGACTCATGCAGCAGATGCCTCAATAGAAATGAGGAACAGCAGTTTCTGATTTAATGATTACAATGAAACTGGTTATGACACAGCTGCTATGATAAACTCAGGTGCTGCCATACATGGAAGTCCAGCAGCCCTGTCTTTTCATTTATAGACAATCATTTCCAAGGGCCTGTGAACTCCTCATTGTCTGTCAGAGTTCACTTTGATGGGACAGTAATATTTTATCGGATCCTTTTTATGTCGTTGCCTGTATTTCTTGATATTGTCTATAGTGTTACACTCATTGCCTCTAACATTACAGATTTCTTTTGAAACCCCCCTCACTTTATTGTGGTCAAATCCTCTGTGAATTAGTCCTTGTCACTGTTAACTCCACTGTCCTAGGGAATAAATGTATGGCCAGTCACATGCCTCCTGTGATACACATGACAACAGTTAACATGTCCACAGGCTGTTGCCGCTGCATGACAACTCCCTGACTTCACAATCAGTAGGTTTTTCAACATACAAGGAATTTTCTTTGGTGTTTGGTGCAAAAAAAACTAGTAATATAGTTCAAAACTACACAATAAAATTAAGTATGTAAAATGTATGTATGTGCAATTTGATACAGATATGCAGAACATATGAGACACACTGCTGAAGCAGAGATGATCAAGAAGTTAGCGATTGAGTCACAGCAAAGTCGGCTTTAGTTGTCAGTGTGTGTTCATGTGTTTTGGGGGCATAGTTTTAACAAGAGGGTCGATGGGAAGGGGTTGGATGTGTCTTTTTTCCCCCAAAAGTGTAGCCTGCTCTTGCTAGCTTTTCCAGGATCACCCACCCTAGCTTTAATGTAATGCAGAATGGGGAAAGTAACTGTGGTTATGATGTCTCATTCTGATCAACTTCATGAACAAGCCAAAGGCTGACAAATCTTACTTCATGTTACTGCTACACATTAGAGGCTGCTGTCTAATACCAAAAAACAAACTTCAGGTGTGTTCTTCTTTGTATAGTTAAAGACCACATCCTGTTAAACTCAGTAACCTACTGAGGCTCCAGATAGACAGGCCAGGCCTAGGGCTTCCCCCTCCTACACACTGCCAGCTTGGCTGCTTTTCCAAGGGCAGGAAACAAGTCAAGCCGGCCGCCCACTTACCCCACACCCCCACATGTACACAAAAACACACACCTCAGATGACCTCACCATCTCACTCTGCACATTTTTTGTCAACTCTTGTTTATTCTTGCCCCAGTCTTTTAAACTCCACCCCCCTTGTTTCTCCTCCCTCTCTGGCCTTTCAGCCACACATTGTGCGTTAATCCTAGTTTTGTTTTCTCAATGAGTTCTACAGCAGGAAGAGGATCATCTTAACCCGACACTGATAATTATTTACTGTTGCTCA